AAAAAAAATATTTGTATTAGTTACTGTGTCATCCTTCCCTTTTTAAATCCACCTCTCTGTTTTGTTTTATCTTTTTACTATGACCTGGATTCTACAAAGACTTATGCATTTGCTTAATTTTAACCACAATTAGTGTCCTTGAAGTCCCCACTATGAGAAAGCAATCTGAGTGTAACTGATGCTGCCTGAGTATACAGACAGCCTGAAACTATGAATCAGAAGTACAAACTGCTCCATACTTGTTCTGCGTGGTTAACTCTAAAACATAAAGCTTTGTGGGGACTCCCAAGTCCCCTGACACTACCCCATCCAGGTACTATGACTCTGTTTACTCCTGGGTTTTTAGTAACTTGCACCACTCTACACTGGGAGTTTGCACTGTTGCAGAAAAATCACTGTTGCTACAGTGGTGGCTAAAACTGCCACTGTAGACAAGCTCTGTGCGCATTGGTGGCCCTTTCTCTTGCCAGTCCATCCTGACTCTTCTGAGTACGTCAATAGTGCACTTTACATACACACACTCAAAACACATCTGAAGACAGGGAGCACAGATCTGGGGAGGTCTTAGCCTCCTCAGTCTCGAATGGTGTGGCCTCCACCAACTCAGCTGATGGGTATGGTATAGATCAGTGTTTCCCAAACTCTTTTGGCCGCGGAACACTTTTTAACTTATAATATTATTTTGTAGTCGTTTGGTTTTCAAGTAAAAAATTGCATTATTTATGATCAAATATAATTTTATGCCATGATATTCAATATGAGAGCTATCAATAACTGGAAAAAGAGTTTTATGTTAAATTATAGTCATTCAAAAAGAGTTGTAAACTACACTTCAAATATGCCAAATTTAGAATTGAAAAAAATTTAAAGACCCTTTTTTAAAATTATGATTCTTTCATGGAACACCTATTCACATTGTGCGGAACACCAGTGTTCCACGGAACACAGTTTGGGAAACGCTGGTATAGATAGCTTTTTTCATTACCACTCAAAGCAGGGGCACTAGAGTATTGCAAGCTGAGCCAGAGACACAGGGGTTTGTTTATAGTCACACACGTTGGGATTCTCTCCATGACCTCTTTGCACTTGGCTTTCCAAGAACTGAGTTTGACTCAAGACTTTGTCATTCAGATATCTTTATTTGACATAGAGCAACGCTACAGTGCATTGATCAGACTCAAACACAGGGGGTGGATACAGATACATCACAGATCCAAAGTTACACAAAAACAAGTCCATCAATACCAGACAAACCAGTGTGGAACATCAGAGGACAAAACACTTTACTGATTGCTCCTCCCTCACCCCCATGAAAAGGAGACATGCTTTACCTGCTTTAACCTTGAAAATAACTTATTTCCTTTCCCTAGTTAATAAATCTTTACATAGTTTATTATAGGATTGGCTACAAGCATTGTCTTTGGTGTGAGATCTGAGATATAACTGACCTGGAGTAGGTGACTGGTTCTTTGGGACTGGGAGTAACCTGAATATTGCTGTGATCTTTGGTGTAAGGGCCCATCTATCAGAAAGGTATGCTTACCTGGATGACAAGATAGATTGGAATATCCAAGGGACTGTTTGTGACTCCATGGTAAGACTGTTACAGTGACCCAGAAGTTCACATTCGTTACTGGGTTAGTGAACTCTTTTATAGAACATACCCAAAACTGGTTGTATCTGCACTGCTTTTTGACAGTTTGCCCAGAGGCTGGCATTCATGGTCATGAGCCGCTCCAGACAGTGTGACAGGCTGCTAGTGGGCAGCTGGAAGAGATGGACTGAGACAGGCTCTGTCCACGGTGGAGAAAGCCACACTGTAGTGGAGCTAGCTCCTGTGGTGAGTCTCTGGGGTAAGAGGCTCAGGGAAGCAGCCCTGGGGCTGTTGCTCCAAGAAAGGAGCAGAGCTGACTGAAACTGTGAAATGGCCACGAGCAGGAGTGCCAAAGGCTCCTGGGAGAGGTGGTCCCTGAGGCTAAGGAATGAGTTAAGACTGTTTTTGTGTTGTTTGCTAACCTCTGTTAAGGAAATAAACCTCCTTGCAAAAGACATGGCAGCACATGCTTTGGAGTGGCGGAGAAGCCAGGCCTGGTGACAATGACCTTGACAAATTGGGGAATTGTTCTGAATTCAACAAGATGAAATTCAGTAAGTAAAGTATTTTGCACTTCTCTTTAGGAAGGACAAATTAAACGCACAACTACAACATGGGCAGGGAGGAAATGGCTCAGTGGTAGTACTGCTGAAAAGGTTGTGGGGTTATAGTGGTTCACAAATTAAATGTGAGTCATCAATGTAATGCAGCTGTGAAAAAGCCTAATATTCTGGGGGTGTATTTACAGGAGTGTCATATGTAAGACTTGGGAAATAACTGTCCTGCTTTCTTGGCATTGGTGAGGCCTCAACTGGAGCACAGTGTCCAATCCAAAAACTGGGGAGAGTCCAGAGGAGAGCAACAAAAATCATAAAAGGTTGACATATGAAGAAAGGTTAAAAAAAGGAGGGATGTTTAGTTTTGAGAAAAGAAGACTGAGGGGGGACTTGTTAACAGCTTTGACTATCTGAAGGGCTGGTATGAAGAAATCTGAACAGTTGTTCTCCATATCTATTGAGAAGAAAAAAAATGAAAAACTCACAAACATTTAGAATTAAAAACTAATGTTGCAATACAAACAGGAAGTGCTATACCAGAAATACAGTGAGATGTGACTGCTGAAGCTAGGAGCATCTATTAATATTTTTAATGGTTATTGTTATTAAAAATATCAGTTAAATAGCAGTGACAAATATCTGCACAATGTTAATGAAGATAAATGAGGAAATGCTAAGAGTAATAACATTTTGAAGAGTATATAATTTACAGTGGATTACAAGAAAAAGCCACTGCAGTTCAGGCAATTAGCCATTCACAAATTTGTCTTAACTGCAGTTCTGTGAGGTTAGATACAGACATATAAACTGATAAGGGATTCTTCCAAACACTGACAATTATAACATTTGGAGGGTGGGGGTGTATGTAAAATATTTAACGGACTCAAGTTTCCTTTACCAGCTCAGTACATTATATCGGACAGGAAGCGCTGCCTTGTTCAGCGAGTGAGATGCACTCTGCCTTTAAGAGCACAGCCCTGGTAAGCCCCTACCCCAGCTCCAGCTCCAACGCCTCCACCGCCTTGTCCAGCGGTTTGCCTCTCCTGTGCATTCATTTGGGTCTCTGCACAGTCTGTCTGTCCCACTCCCCAGCAGGAACAGACCGCACCCCAAGCCAGGGCAGAGCCAGGGGCCAGCAGCAGCTTCAGCTGCTGTTACTGAGCATGCTCAGTCCCTACAAGCCGCAAGGTCTGACTGGCTCAGTTTGTAAAATAAAACTGTCAGTGTCACCAGAGAACCGGGAATGGGGGCACGACTTCCGGGGGCTAGGCTCCAGAGAGGCCGGCCGCTGGGAAGCGAGAGGACTTTCGCGGAAAGGTTCCTCCTCATCCCTCCTACCGGAAAGAGAAGCGACAGGAAATGAGAGGAGGAGGACTTTCGGCGCCCAAGCTAGAGGCAGGAGCAGGAGGACTTCCGTTTAGCGGGACATACCGGAAGGAAGTACATCGCCTACCAGGACAAAGGAGTCTCCTGGAGGACTTCCTGGTCCGGTGCGTCACCGGAAGAGGAGACTATCAGCGCCGGGAAGCGAAGCGTAGGCCTGCTGGAGAGTGCTGGGCGCTGGAGGGTTTGGAGTTTGGCTCCCAAATAGAACCATAGAGGCTCATGGGGCTGAGGGAGAGGCCTGACCCATAGAGATCGATTGCGGGGCTGGAGGACTTCCGGGAATGGGGCTCATCCAGAACGAGTAGAACGGGAACGCGAAGCTTCCGACTGCCACTGCGTGGGAGGTAATAGGAGGGGCTCAGAGCGGTGTCTTGACTTCCGTGATGCTCCGCGTGGCGGGGATTTTGGGCAGAGCTTGACCCCCACGTACCCCCTCCACAACACTGATTATCAAGGCCCTTCCCGTTCCCATAACAACCCAGCATGGGTGCATGAGGTCTGAGCCAAAGAGCCACGAGGAGAGTTCGCCTCCAGCCCGTCCCCTCGAACCGCGGTTCAGTTTGTACAGCACCTAGCGCAGCGGGGCCTCCATGGTGCAACAGTAAAACAAGCAACAGTGAAAGGTGTCTCAAGAGCAGAGTGTGTGAGCGATTCTGGGTGAATTGCTACCTGCCTGAAGGTAGGATCCCATCTCCCCCCAAGTCAAGGGTGTGAGTTTGGAATTTCCTACTAATAAGGGGAGCCTGCAGCACACAGGTAGGAAAAGGACCCTGATTAGAGTCAGTGTCCTTGGCCTTGTTGCCCAGAGAACACATCCCATCAACGAGACCATGTTGTTTTACTTACTCTTGCAGTTCCCATAGGGGCAGTAGTTACCACACACTTCATAGGACATCTTTACAGACAGGAAAGGGCCTACAGTAGAGAAACCAGGACTTAATTTATGCCAGGGCTGAACCCCAGCACCTCTAGGTATGGCCGTTCAGAGCCCCAGCACCTCTGGGCTTGCTGCATCAATTATGAATGTAAAACAATTGCTTGAGCCCTGGCACCTCTTTCATTACAAATTAAGCACAGAGAGAAATCATTACATTTTAGTAATTTCTTGTGAGCCCTGCAGAGCCAGCTGGAGCCTGTTTTAGCCTTGTGCATTGTCAACTATACTAATTAAGTTCTAGGTAAAAAAAAAAAACACATTTTGCTCATTTTTCAGAATAGCAGTCGTGTTAGTCCGTATCAGCAAAAAGAACAGGAGTACAAGTACTCCTGTTCATTTTGCTCATTGACATCTGTACAATCCCCCTGAAGACAACAGGGCTCCTTGGGTATCCAGGAAGGTAAGATTTGGCCCTGCCACCTCTTAGTGGTTATGATGCATGGATTCCAAAGGACACAACTGGCTTACAGAGTTATTGGTACTAGTAGCTTATTTGCAAGGCTACGATTTAGTTACGGAATCAGTGACTTCCAGTGACCTCTGTGACTTCACTTCCAGTGATTGGGAGCTGCAGGCCCCTCCTCCGCCAGTGGGGGCAGGAAACTGCAGGGTCCTCCCCATTGCCTCTGGTAGCCCCCAGAGCTCCAAGTCGCTGCAGAGGACAGGGTACCCCACAGCTCCTAGCTGCTGTGGGCAGTGGGGGAACTGAAGCCACCAGCCGTGGCAGAGGAACCCCCGAGCTCCTGGCTGCCTCGGGCAGTGGAGAGCCCTGCAGCTCCCAGCCATGGCAGGGGAACCCCACTGCTTCCAGTCACTGGCGGTACCTTGCATGCCCCAGCTGCTGCAGGCAGCTCCTAGCCCCTGTGCAGCTACCCCACTTCAGGTGGTGTGGGGATCCACAGATCCCCATTTTGTCAGGTATATGTTTAGGAAAAGTCAGGGACAGGTCACGGCTTCCCGTGAATTTTTCTTTTTTGCCCGTGACCTGTGACTTACTAAAAATATCCATGACAAAATCTTAGCCTTCATAGAATCATAGAATATCAGGGTTGGAAGGGACCTCAGGAGGTCATCTAGTCCAACCCCCTGCTCAAAGCAGGACCAATCCCCAATTAAATCATCCCAGCCAGGGCTTTGTCAAGCCTGACCTTAAAAACTTCTAAGGAAGGAGATTTCACCACCTCCCTAGGTAACGCATTCTAGTGTTTCCACCACCCTCCTAGTGAAAAAGTTTTTCCTAATATCCAACCTAAATCTCCCCCACTGCAACTTGAGACCATTACTCCTCGTTCTGTCATCTGCTACCACAGAGAACAGTCTAGAGCCATCCTCTTTAGAATCCCCTTTCAGGTAGTTGAAAGCAGCTATCAAATCCCCCCTCATTCTTCTCTTCTGCAGACTAAACATCCCCAGTTCCCTCAGCCTCTCCTCATAAGTCATGTGTTCCAGTCCCCTAATCATTTTTGTTGCCCTCCGCTGGACTCTTTCCAATTTTTCCACATCCTTCTTGTAGTGTGGGGCCCAAAACTGGACATAGTACTCCAGATGAGGCCTCACCAGTGTCGAATAGAGGGGAACGGTCACGTCCCTCGATCTGCTGGCAATGCCCCTACTTATACAGCCCAAAATGCCATTGGCCTTCTTCGCATCAAGGGCACACTGTTGACTCACATCCAGCTTCTTGTCCACTGTCACCCCTAGGTCCTTTTCTGCAGAACTGCTGCCGAGCCATTCGGTCCCTAGTGTGTGGTGCATTGGATTCTTCCGTCCTAAGTGCAGGACTCTGCACTTGTCCTTGTTGAACCTCATCAGATTTCTTTTGGCCCAATCCTCCAATTTGTCTAGGTCCCTCTGTATCCTATCCCTACCCTCCAGCGTATCTACCTCTCCTCCCAGTTTAGTGTCATCTGCAAACTTGCTGAGGGTGCAATCCACACCATCCTCCAGATCATTTATGAAGATATTGAACAAAACCGGCCCCAGGACCGACCCTTGGGGCACTCCACTTGATACAGGCTTGCTATTAGACATGGAGCCATTGATCACTACCCGTTGAGCCCGACAATCTAGCCAGCTTTCTATCCACCTTATAGTCCATTCATCCAGCCCATACTTCTTTAACTTGCTGGCAAGAATACTGTGAGAGACAGCTTTGCTAAAGTCTAAAAGCTTTGCTAAAGTCAAGGAACCACACGTCCACTGCTTTCCCTTCATCCACAGAACCAGTTATCTCGTCATAGAAGGCAATTAGATTAGTCAGGCATGACTTGCCCTTGGTGAATGCATGCTGACTGTTCCTGATCACTTTCCCCTCCTCTAAGTGCTTCAGAATTGATTCCTTGAGGACCTGCTCCATGATTTTTCCAGGGACTGAGGTGAGGCTGACTGGCCTGTAGTTCCCAGGATCCTCCTTCTTCCCTTTTTTAAAGATGGGCACTACATTAGCCTTTTTCCAGTCGTCCAGGACTTCCCCCGATCGCCATGAGTTTTCAAAGATAATGGCCAATGGCTCTGCAATCACATCCGCCAACTCCTTCAGCACTCTCAGATGCAACGCATCCGGTCCCATGGACTTGTGCTTGTCCAGCTTTTCTAAATAGTCCAAAACGACTTCTTTCTCCACAGAGGGCTGGTCACCTCCTCCCCATGCTGTGCTGCCCAGTGCAGCAGTCTGGGAGCTGACCTTGTTCGTGAAGACAGAGGCAAAAAAAGCATTGAGTACATTAGCTTTTTCCACATCCTCTGTCACTAGGTTGCCTCCCTCATTCAGTAACGGGCCCACACTTTCCTTGACTTTCTTCTTGTTGCTAACATACCTGAAAAAACCCTTCTTGTTACTCTTAACATCTCTTGCTAGTTGCAACTCCAGGTGTGATTTGGCCTTCCTGATTTCACTCCTGCATGCCCGAGCCATATTTTTATACTCATCCCTGGTCATTTGTCCAGTCTTCCACTTCTTGTAAGCTTCTTTTTTGTATTTAAGATAATCAAGGATTTCACGTTAAGCCAAGCTGGTCGCCTGCCATATTTACTATTCTTTCTACACATCGGGATGGTTTGTCCCTGTAGCCTTACTTATTTGTAAGTGGAGCAAGTTTATCTAAGTACTTATATGTACCCTATGCCCCCCGCCCCCGCCAGTGTAGTATCAGAGTCCATAGAAAACCTACTATTGTATTTTTACACTTCGCTTTCAGAGTAGAAATGTGCTTTAAACTTAGCTTTTATGTAGAAAAGTTATATAAAAACTAAAAATTTAACAAATAACTAAGCAGCTTACATTAGTCATGCATTACGAAAGCCTTGTCTGTCTTTATTTGGTTTTCTATACTTGGCTTAGAAAAGCCCATGGCAAAAATATTAGAAAAAGAAGGCAATTTTCTGTAGGAAAACCTCTCATTTAATGAATTTCAATGGAGCAGAGGTATATTCTTATTCCAGACCTCCCCCACTTGTCTCTAGTTATGCGTTTTGGATGCTGCCCCCATGGCCATTTTAGACATTACATACATAAGAGGCATATTTGTGTGCATAATTTTGAAACTTTGGTGCTGAGAAACTGGCTGCCTGGAGCTGGACTCTCTGCGCAAAGCTGACAGCCTCGTTTTTCAGCATTGGGTAGCTAAGCTCCCAGCCTGGGCTGTCAGCATTCCACGCTGCCCCCGACTTAACGACACACACCACTAGCAGAAGGGGGGTAGTGGGGACATGAAAAACAGCAGTAATTACTGTGGTGGCTGTAAGTCGACATAACTTTGGTCAATTTAATTGTGTAGCAGAGTCAAGGCCTTTATTAACCCTCCACTGGGGTTACCAGGCCTTGCTTTCACAGATCAAAACACTGAGCAGAATGCAAGAACAGGAGGACACCCCTGCAGACTGCTGTGTATGTGTAAAACTAGACTTCTCAGGGTTGTCATCACATAGATGGTTAGACAAGAGGTATGAAATGTGTGTGTAGATTTTTTAGTTGCTTTAATCCTTTTCACTGAATGCTTTGTTCCCATAGCTAAATAAACAATACTTTTGGCTTTAAGAAGGCTGTTTTGGGTCATGGAATGAGCTCCTGGTTGTAAGCTCTCAGCAGGAAGAACTGCAGGTATCCAAACCCAGTTGGACATGCAGTGTAAGAACTGCTAGTGCCCATGGCCCAGTTTGAGAGTGGAGAGTCACATGATTCCACCTTGAGAGATGTGCAGGTACAAACCCCGATACTTGAGAAGGGGTGTCCTCAGAGATCAGAGGTGGGACAGAGCCTCAGGGAGCCCTGAGCCATAACAGGCCTTGTCTATGCAATAACTTTGTTTCTGTGATCTAGAGGTGTCAAATTTTACAGTTATACCAGTATAAAACCGATCTGGGCACTCTTTTTTCAGTAGAGTGCCCTTATGTCTCCTGGGAAGGGGGTTAAGATAAAATCACTCTTACAGTGGAATAATAATGTCCACAAGGGGTGGGCGAGATGGAAATTATACTTGTATAGCTGCTAAGACTTTCCCCAGGTAGACAAGCTCCTCAGGGTGAAAGTGCTAAATGGTCTTTTCTCTCCTCCACAAGTGCTTGGAGACCTCTGACTGCTAGAAGCTGGGACTGGATGATGGGATTGCTCACTGAAAAAAAATATTGTTCTGTTCTGCTCACTCCCTCGGAAGCATCTGGCACCAGCCACTGTCACAAGATGGGATACTGGGCTAGACAGACCATTGGTCTGACCCTGTAGGGCCATTCTTAGATAAGGGCCATACATACAAACACCAGAACTTGGAACAGCCCATTATTCCAGTGACTGCTGTGCTCTACAGCTCACCGTTTCACACATTTGAAAATAGTCTTTCCTTTCAAAAAAAACTATTCTACCCTAGCAAGCTGGGGAAGCTACCCTTTATAAGTGACAAAAAGAAAATCCCAGTTGGGAACTCACAAAAGTAGCTACAACTCAGGTGTAGCACATTGCTGACTTCAGCTAGACTTATAAACAGCCGTCAAACAACTTCAGCAACCCACAGTATTTTATTTACATAATTTATCCACGTTTGCATGGAAACCAAAGTCTCAGCTCATCCACAGCCTCATTCACTTTAGACAAAACCACGGGAGAAGAGACTAGATCACTAAAACCTGGATCAATGGGGTCATTTCCTGGGAGGAGGGTTGTAGCTACTGTGCAGCACTATGCCAACAGCCCAGCCACAAAATGGGAATGTCATGTCTAATCTCCTGACGACATGTAGGGATACTGAAGAGCATCCTTGAAGCATAGTTCATGTGTGTCCTGGACAGCAGTGATACTCCCATCCCATTGAGCAGGGAAAGAGAAATTTCCTAGTTCAGCTCCATAACGGGGGGTGGGGGAAGGGAGCCCCACAGATGGGGACTGACCTTCCAGCGATTCAGAGCTGCCCTGCACAGGCGAAGGGCAGATAGATTCTAAGGACAAGTTTCCATGGAGGTTCTGGATATGTGAGGATGCTCACAAGGCTACCCTCAGCAAGCCTGAACATAGCAAATTGCTGAGTCAACTTGCAAAGGCATCTGGGCATTGGGCAGGACCCAGCAAGTGTGAATTCCTTCAAGATAGCGAATTAACTCTGCGCTAAGGCCTAGGTCATTGCAAGAGAATCTGCCTTACTGCAAATGTAGGAGCTCTGCTTTGACCAATGAGCTTGCTACCATAATACAGACACATTAAAACAGACCCACTCTTCATGCTACTTAACCTGAGAGGTGAACAGTTGGTAATCTGCCCTATGCCTTTAAAACCATGTCCACTCCCTACAAATGGAGATGCTGTACCAAGTCATAAGATTGATGGGGCAAGATTAATCTCAGTGCAGCAGGATGTACTTCAGCCCGATCAGCACTACCCAAATCCTCACAGAATCATGGCCTAGCAGCGCATCCCATGGCTGGAAACAATCCACATGGCAGGAAACAGGTCCAGTGAGTCAAGCTGTTGTGCACAGAAGGGCTCTAGGACTCCACCCTTTTTCTGATTTCCTCAGCAAGCTTCTCCCTAGGGATATCGACCTGCACAACAAACAGGAAGGAACTGGTCCCAGCAATAAAACTGTCTCATGGGAAGTGACCTGAGCTCCCAACAATATCAGGATGCCCACTTACCTGTCTTCTGCCATCCCTCAAACCCTCCTCTCTGTGAACTCCCACTGGAAGCGCCACCCCATAAAAGTCCATCCCCTGACCACCAAGGAGAGACTTGTGGAAGGAGTGAGGATTAGGGATTTCCTGTTCCACACCCCTGAGGGACAGGATTAGACTGCTCAGCAGAGAGCTTTAGTGATCTGTAACTCTGAGGAAGGTTCGCTGTGGACTTAGACTAGTTTGTAAAGAGGATTCAATCTGTACTGGAGCCTGGTTAACTCTAGCGATCTGCAAGCTCGCAAAGAGGCCCTAATAGCCAGGGAGAATGTTGTCTAGAACCTTTCAATGGGTTTTGGAGGCAGCCTTTGAACCCCTTAGCCTATCCCCAATATCAAAGGACATCCTCACCTCTTCCCTGCTAGCTACGACTCGTAGCTTGACAATTCCATTCTTCAGCTCCTGCTCTCCTACGATGGCTGCGAGAGGGATTCCCATGTCTTCACAATATTGCAGCTGGTTCAGCAGCTTGGGGTTCTTCTTATACAGCATCTCTGCCTAGAGGGGCAGGCAATGTGGTTGTGTTCAAGAGGTTACATAGAATATGAAGTGACAGACCCTACCCAGTTCTAACTCATTGCTAGGACGGGCTGGAAATTTGCCGATGGTTTTCTGGTGGAGAATGCAGATTAGTTGAAATCTAAACATTTTGTGGAGGTGGTTTGATTTCGACTAAGCTCCAGTGGAACCCAGGCAAGTTTTGAAACTCATCTGCTAGGCAGGTTTTCCTACCAGCTGGCCTGCCTCGTGGGCTACCAGTTCTTCTGCAGCCTACCTAGCAAGCTGACAGGGCCAAGACCCTGAGAGCACCAGCTCCCAAACTCTGAGGCTCCTGGCTCAGCTGGAACTCCCAGTTCCCCTTCAGCCTGCTGGGTGGAATTTCATCTGGAAATGATCAAAATTGTGATTTTTTTGGGATTCTGTTTTTGTGGGTTTTGAAATTTCTGGGTTTTGTTCCAAATTGGAACTAAACCAAATTTTGAAATTCCAAATGCCTCCATGAAACAGAATTACCATTCTCGTCAGAGCTCTAGCCATTAGCACAGAGTCCCCTGGGGCAGATGGTTCCAACAGGCTCAGTACCAGCAGCTGCCTTTCTCCGTCAGAGCGAAACAACGAAGAGGTTGGCAAGTTTGGTCTTGCTGTGCCACCTCTCCCCAGAGACGCTCTCTCTCCCCCCATTCTAAGGGCTGGCTTTGAGAAGCACAACTAGGCCAGTCCAATTGCCAAGTCTTACCTTGATCCCAGAATCCCAGAGTTCAGAGATGAGTTTCAATCTTACATCAAGGAAGTTCTTCTGCGGGGTTGCCACCAGCACCTGCGTCTCAGTCGTCCGGATCTTCTCCTTAGAAACCTGGGAGCAGGAACAGAGTTGTGAATGAAACATATGGAAACATCCTATTGCTCATGAAGACATGCTGCAAGGCACGTGACAGTTGCTCCTCACCCACCCCTTGTACCTATTACTGGAGAATGCTACCATATTCCTAACACAGCCTATATAGGGGAGGATTACATGAAAAACAACAACAAAAACCCACCAAACTGTGTTCAAAGAATGTTATTTTGCAATGTCAAACTTGTGCAACCTTAATTTATCTCCCTTGGGCACATGCATCATGACTCTGGATTTCATTATGTACTATTTTTTCCACAGGATCCCTGCCTCATTCTGAACACACACTGGACTTGTCCTGGGAATGAGGCAGCTGTTCAATAATTTTTTTGAGCCTCACCAGACAATGAGTTGCCTCTGTCTTATTTACCACACATCACCCCAACACTAAACTAAATAAAGAATTACTGATTTCCTCATGGGTTTTTCCGCCATCTATCATAATAGTATGACGTTCACAACCATTAAGTTAATTATCTTCATAATGCCCTGGGAGACAAGTATTTTACAGATGGAAAATGTTAAGGAAAAGTTAGCACATGTGACTCCATTTTGGTTTGGGGCCCACCATTGTTTAAATGCCAGCACATCATACACCAGGAGGAGTGATCCTTAGATACTGAATCCCTGTGAAAATCCTCCTCATCTCCAGCCTACCTTGACTCCCAGTATCTGGTTTTTGTCAATCTCTAACTCCCTGTCTCTTGGCCTTGATGTGAGGCCTCCCATCCTGATAATAAAAGTTACTGATGCATGGCTTTAGGACCATGCTGTGTAATTAACATACTGGTTTAGCATGAGGAATGCACCAAGCAGGGATAGGTGGTAGATAAGAAAAGGGTTTGTTTATTGGCTAAGGTTTCCGATGCACGAGGGCAACATGCTTTGCTAAAAAGTATATAACCTTTGTATAATCTGTATTCAGGGTCCCCTCCTGGCTAGCAGGGGGGCACCACGCTCGAGCGTAATAAACTTGGTGTTTTTTGGGAACTCTGCAGTTGTGGACTTTGTTTATGTGCCTCAGCCTAGATTCGAACTGTGCGTGTCCTACCAGGTTAATTCGTAGCATTTGTGTGCATGTCCTACCAGGTGTAATTTGTAGCATTTGTGTGAGTGTCCTACCGGCCAAAATGAGGATGCCAATTTACAGACAGGGAAATTGACAGAAAAGCAACTTGGTCCAAGCTTCAGCTAAGGAGTGGAAGAGCCCGGAATAGAACTCAAGACCTCCTATGTCCCAGCCCTACCTTAGTGAAAATTCTAATTCAAGGGATATGCCGAGGAAATATGTAGCAGAGGACTCAGGTCTCCTGCATTTCAGTCAACCACAAGCCCATCCTTTCTTTACTACAGTCCCATGCCTCATCCACTACAGATCTTCCAATTTCTGCAACAAACGTGTCAGGTATCCTACAGAAAGTGGCCTCCTTACCTGCACCCCCTGGCTGGTCCCCACAGTGGTGGGCCATTCTGCATACTTCTGAGTGGCACTCACCTCCACTTTCTGCTCCATGATGGAGAAGATCCGCTCGATTCCGATGCTGACTCCCACACAGGGCACCTTCCGCCCCTTGGGATCGAACATCCCCACCAGCCCATCATAGCGGCCACCTCCAGCCACACTGCCCACGCTGACTGGCTCCTCCTTGTGGTCGTTCCGAGGCTGCAGCAGGATGGCCTCGTAGATCACCCCAGTGTAATAATCCAGACCCCGTGCCAGGCTCAAGTCGAAGGAGATCTGTGAAACAGGAGGGGAATCCCATTACCAGGCACAACAAATGACCCAGTCAGGCCTGCTCTGTGTTCCTCCATCACTCACCTTATCTGCAATGCCAAACAGGGTCAGGTACTCAAACAGCAGCTTCATGTCTCCCAGCCCCTCCCGGGCCAACTTGTTCTGGGACAGCTTAGTGTCCTGGAGCAGCTGCTCAATCAGACCCAGCCCACCTGCTGAAATGAGACACACCTGAAATATACCAGGGAGGGAGACATTGTGTGGCCAAGCTCCTGTGGACTCACTCCACCCAGCCTGGGTTACACCCACCTCCTCACTTCTTCAGCCTTGTGCATCTCTATCTTCCTCCCAGGGGATACCGACCTTGCATCCCACCCGGGACACCCAGGCTGCAAGTCAGCTCGGCCTGGGCAAGAGCAACTAAACAACTGGGGAACCCTGACACGCCCCATGCAGAGACCAAGGAAGCTGGAATAGCTGCTGGGAAGGTGAAGTGACCCACATGGACTCTCAGCTGGCCTGGGTGAGGCTGGACAGGGAACCAGGTCTCACAGCTCCACAGAACTCACCATGCAGTTGAATGTATTCCCCGATACGATCCACAGCCTCGGGTGAGAGACCTTTCTCTCCAACCATCTCGCTCTTCACATCCTCCCATGTTGCCTGGGGTGGAGGAGATGAGAACATTAATCACAGCTTTCCTGGCTGAATCTGCTGCTCCTGGGAATGCAAAACCCCTTCCCCAGCTTTCCCCTCCACACCAATACTACCCCATGGGTTCAGAACACACACTGAGGAAACTGCAGGAAAGGGGAGACCACTGCCTGGCGGCTAATCCAGTTAGGGATCTCCCATTTCTAGCCTTCCCAGAATAATTAACAATAGACTTCACTCTCATTTGGTGCCTTCAGTCTAACCTCTCAAAGCTATTAATGAGTTAGGCCCAGATCCTCAAAAGGTATTTGAGAGTTAGGGGCTTACTTATTTCACTGGAAGTTAGCAGACCTTTGAGGATCTGAGCCCTAATCCCTCCAAATCCCTGGAGAGGCAGGAAGTCTTATCCCCATTTTACAGACGGGAAAGCACAGGCACAGAGAGCGGATGCGACTTGCTCAAGGACAGAATCCAAACTTCTTGGCACTTGGGAGAGCCAAAGAGAATGTCAGCTCTGAAAGTCCTGCTTCAGATACGTGTTTCCATCCTACATATTTGGAGATGGATCACAGTCCTCCCACCAGAGCATGCACAGCTGAGAGCTAGGGCAGTGCTAGACAGCAGTCAGTGTCTGCCAGCCAGGGCAGGGAAATCCGCAGAGCATTACCTTGTTCAGTTTGTCCACAGTAGAGCAAGTGCTATGGAACAGGCTGTCTGGAATGCCACATACTGCAAAAACTCCATGCAAAATGCGCCGGTCATTGACCTGGGGGTGGGAAGCAGAGTCACTCTGAATCGGAACCCAATGGAGCCTCCCAGTAAGATTGAATCACTTCCACTTGGTTTCTATATGGCTCCAGAGGTCTGTGAAGCAGCTGTAGTCAAAATCCCCCCAGCCTCTGAAGGAAGGGATTTCTCGTACGCAGGGCACACTAGAGTAGGGGATGGGTGGGAGGGCAGGCTCATTCTGGCCTGGGAAGACATGTAACTTTATTAAACCAGTGGGCTATGGTTTTACCTTAATGAGGAAGTCTCCGAGCTGCAACATGCTCAGGATCTCATGCACGATCTTCAGACACTCAGCATCAGGAATCATAGGGTCAAATTGGCCAGCGATGTCAAAGTCCTGGGATACAGGAAGAGGCAGTGGGAATCCAGGCAGTGTAACCCAGCTGGGACACCGCAGAGGCAGTCATAGAATATCAGGTTGGAAGGGACCTCAGGAGGTCATCTAGTCCAATCCTCTGCTCAAAGCAGGACCAATCCCCAACCAAATCATCCCAGCCAGGGCTTTGTCAAGCCTGACCTTAAAAACTTCTAAGGAAGGAGATTCCACCACCTCCCTAGGTAAATCAGGGTCCCCAGACACACAGCTCCCTGTGCTGCACCCCATTCCCTGTACCCAAAGGGGAGCCCAGGCACGTAATGCAGAGGCCTGTACTCTAAACTGTTCAAGGTAACAGAAATCCAACTCAGCCTGTTACAGAAAGCCATTGTTTATGAAAGTTAGCACAAGTTGGAGGCAACCAGATTAAGATAAACTGGACTGTTTAAGTTAAACCACTGTGCTTAGGGAACTGCAAAGCTCCTGGTAAAGAGAGGGATGGAATGGGACATGTCGACTGTAAGTTGTGAGCTTTACCATCATGGTTGCCACCTCCACCATCTCCTGGGATCCACCAGGACACCATTGGGCCTTCATAAACCTGATGCTGAGACAGGGCCTGATCAGACTGGGCCAGAGAGGGAACTGATGACATCATTGTCTCCACCCGGAACGTGAGATTTGCATTCATGCTGTCGCACTCCCTCATATGTCATTTTCCTTCCTCACCTTATTTCTTCTCTCTCCTCTCCCTTTCCTTTTTCTGTCTAAAGAGTCTGATTTAGCCTGCCAAGACAACACCATCTTTTGCAACACTGCTTTGAGCCTGTGACCAAAGAAGCAAGCTAAAAGCAATGCCTTCAACAGCCCAATGCGGGTACAAGTTTGCCAGGACTCTGAGCATACTGGGTCTGATTTTCACCAGCAGTGAGGTTGTAAATGAGAGTCAGCACCCAGGAGAGAAGCAGCATTTTCTACCTTTGCACTTCTGTTTTCTCTCCTTGGGTGTTTGTCTTCTTTTCTCTTAAAGAAACAGGAGTGGACTTCAACAACAGTTCCAGCCCATCTTAACTAACTTTTTCTCTTTTCCCCCAAAAGGACAGTTAGTAACATATTTAATTGAACCTAAAAGTCTGTCAAATAGGGGGTTTCCCCTGTTCAAACTCTTCAGCTAAAGGGAATAAGGCAGTGGCTCTCAAACTTTATTACTGGTGACCGCTTTCATATAACAAGTCGCTGAGTGCGACCCCCCTTATAAATTAAAAACTTACAACTTTTTTATATATTTAACACCATTATAAATGCAGGAGGCAAAGCCGGGTTTGGGGTGGAGGTTGACAGCTTGCGCCCCCCATGTAATAACCTCACGACCCACAGTTTGAGAACCCCTGGAATAAGAGATATTGTTAAGTCTGACTTAATACTTTGCATTTCAAATGCATTAACTGTTTTTCCATCTTTTCCTGTATTTTTAATAAAAGGTTAAAAAGACTGTTATGGTGGTTGTTACAATGGGAGTCACAAAACCTTGGACCACACTTAACTGTTTGATATTGTAACAGTAAAAAGGGTTTCACTGCATCTTATCCATGAGACACTCCCCTTTTCAGCACAACAGGCCCCAGACACACATGGAGCCCTCTTCCTCCCTGTCCCCTTCCCCATGCTTTGTGGGGAGCCAGAACCCAAGACCCCACGCAAGGAACCCTGGGCCCAGAAACAGCTCCTGCTGCATTGAGAACACTCAGGCTCCTGGTACTCACACACTGGTAGAACTCCCTGTAGCGGCCCTTCGTCATGGCCGGATTATCCCGTCTGTAAACTTTGGCAATGTGGTAGCGCTTAATGTTGGTGATTTTGTTCATTGCCAAATAACGAGCAAAGGGCACCTGAGCACAAAGGGTTAAGGATGGAACCTAGAGATAATCTCCTGTGGCCTGGAGAGTTCAGGGCCAGTCATTCAGCCCCATTATCACTCTACAGGCAGCTGCTGGGCCAGTACAACACAACCCCACAGCAAAGCCTATGCTAAAGGTCACCTGCAAACTGTGGCCACCTGTCCTAATGGACAGTAAAATCTCAGTCCCTATGAGTGCACCTTCTTAGTAATCACACCATGTTAACAGCTAGAACAAACAGCCTCATTGGTGGGTCATTTGAACAGATGTTGCAGTCTTTTGCTGCTATGATACAAACTGGGATTACATACATAATATAGTGACAGATTAAGGGCCAGAGATAAGGGAGCAAAAATGCTTTCAGGTGAAATTTTGACAGAGCTGCAGTCAGTAAAGCACGGTCCTGGATGGATAACCCATTTGGCAACAGTAACAAAGGCAACGGCTCTTTCACTGAGAATAGGGAGGTTGTGTGAAGAATCAGAAAGGAGGCTAGCCAAGATGAGCACAGGCAGATGGGGAAGGCAGTAGAGAGAGGAGATTCAGTGTCCAGGGAGTACACTGGATGGAGCAAGCCCATGGGCGGTTTCTATGTACAGACCCTGAGGTCACCCAGGACCTAGTTTTGAGGATGGGGTGATTTAGTCACCATTCTGTGTGTCTAGTGGTGAGTAGTAATTCTTCAGGTGCTGGAGTTGGAAAGGCTGGGACTTGAGCTTATCCTAGAGACGGGAGCTAGGTGGCAGGGATGGAAGTTTGGATGAGGATGAGTTGAGATAGAGGTGTCCATGGGCAATGGCATGGAGGCAGTTACAGGTAGGCTTAGAAACAAGGGAAACACTGGAGAGGAATGGGATGAATGTATACAAAGTGGCATTAGCATGCATGTTCCTCCCCAGTTAGGAGGAGGTGACAGAGACTTCAGTATGTCCTCACCTCCACCCCATGTACTCCTGCCTAAGAAACACCAGCAACCCCTGGATGAGATGGTGCTTCCCAAGGCCCGGGACTCTAGCAGGATACAGTCAGGTCGTAGCGAAGAGACAGCAGCTCTCCACCCTGGTCTTTCAGGTCATAGATGAGCTTTGAGTCCTCCCCGTATTTCCCCGTCAGAGTTTCCTACAGAAAAGCAAGACAACTGTGTCAGGCAAGAGAGGACGAGCTCCAGAAGCAGAAAGCAGGAGCAAGAAGCTCCTAGAAAGAAAGCAGGGAGAATCCTTGAGCCTGATTTTAGAGGTGATCAGTTGGATCTAACTCCGGTCAGATGATCTAACCCCCCCCCTCCAGCTTTACCACAGACGCTATTCACAGCTGAGTTCTTAGTCAGGGCAGCTGCCCTTCAGGTCACAATGAAAGCAGCTACTGCCATTTAAAATGCACCCAATAATTACAAGGGGCATAAAGCCACAAACCTATGGATCACATCTGACTCAGGGATCAGTGCCTCCAGCAGCACAACTTCCTCCTCCCAGATGTCACATCACAGACCCTACCCTCACCTTCAGCTCAAACACAGGGGTGTCGATGACCTCAGCCCCATGGCGCTTGAAGCAGCTGATGATGGTGTTGAAGACTTTCTCCCGGATGGCTGTTTGCTTGGGGCTGTAGTCCCTGGTGCCCTGAGAGCCCAAACCAAAGGGAAGTGGGTGAGAAATGTTAAAAGTGAAGAATTATAACCACCAACCTGCAACAGTAAAACCATCCAATATCTAAACTGTTCCCAGCTTCTGCGGCTGCTCAAAGCTCTGAGCCCAAAAGTTTGGCGCTATAACAAAGGTCAGCTAGGCCTAGAATAATGGAAGTTGATGATTCATTAGACCTACTGCTGTTTGAAACACTAGGGAAGTTTTAGTGCACAGGGTCCACATGAACAGTTGGCTTGCTGGAGCATTGTAGATTTATGCCCCCATTTGCTATGCACTAATTCCTCGTTTAGATATGCCCTTAGGCATAAGAGTCAATTGGGAAGAGGCAATAGAATGGGAAATGGAGAAAGAGCCATAGGCTTGAGAGGCTGGAGCTGAGGAAAAACTGTGCACCCTACCACAAAGTGCAGGATAACAAGCAGGAAAGGGGCAGTTTGTTTCAGTGGTGAAAGCACCTAAGTCATATGCCAGTAGAGATGGGGTAACCAGGAGAGGAAGCAACCCATGAGAGACCCAACTCCCTGAAGGAGGTGGGGAGTTACCTTGGGGGTTTTCAGAATGAAGTTTTTTTTCCCCTCATCAGTTCCCAGCTGTGGCTTTGGCTGCTGGAGCTTTACCACACCCTCTGCCACCTGGGGATAGAGAAAAGGCTTTTGATTAACAGAGTAAGACACTGACCCCTGAGTGTCTGTCTGATGTCAATTCAACTGGTGGACCTACAAGGCTTGCAGGAGGTTTCCTTAGTTTCTAACAGCTCCACTATAAGGAGGTGGGAGTTACCTTTGGGGTTTTGAGAATGAAGTTCTTTTCCCCTTATCAGTTCCCAATCTGATTTCCTTCCCCAGACCCAAAGAAGAGCTCTCTGTAACTTGAACGCTTGTACCCTCCAACAACTGAGGTTGATCCAATAAAATATATTATCTCACCCACCTTGTGTCTCCAATATCCTGGAACCAACACGGCTACAACAATACTGCAAATAACAGCTCCACTGTAATTCAAGTCCTTGCTTGTCCTAGTTTTTCTTGCATTTGACATTTTAAGTTAGCAGGACAGCCAATGGATTCTTAGCAGCCCCCATTAGAATGCACAGGAATCTGGGAGCCATTGACACCCACTGACTACAGAGTAGAAAATATAGTTAGTTGTTTTAGCTAGATAAACTAGAAGGCTCCCAAATCTGGATTATCATCACTTTCTATCCAGCCTGAATAATCCCTGCCAGAACTCCTGGGGGACTCCAAACTTTGCCCACCAGAGGGCTGCACTGGCAATTTGCCTGGGATCTGCTGCCTTCATCTAACCCAGTCCTTTAATCGGGATCAAGATAGAGCATCACACACTGGAACCTCTAGTCTGTGCACTCAGGTCACACCCTGGTAATAACTGTTGGTGCTCACATAGCACTTAACACCTTGAAAATCAGTTGGACACATTAATTCCCTCGGCATAGAGTTCTGTGGCACTTTATAGACTAACAGACATATTGGAGCATGAGCTTTCGTGGGTGAATACCCAATTCGTCGGATGCCTGTCATTAATTACCTCATTAACATTCACGACACCCCAGGAGATGCTTTCGCCATCAATAAAGATGGCAATAGGAGCGACACGGAGAGCGTGTCCAGCTACCCAGAACCACACAGCGTCAATATCAGAACTTGGGTTAGGGTCCAAGTGCCAGCCCCTGTTTCTCTACAGCTTCGCGGGCTCTGCCAGGCTTAGGCTCCAACCTCCCACGTCTCCTCCCGGGAATCAGAGCCCGCCTGAAAGACAAAGCCTTGTCCGCTGGGAGCGGACGGACTCTCGGGGCTGGAGCAGGACCCGCCACCCGGAGCGAGACTCACCTGGTTTTGGGGGTGGGCAGCAAAGGCCCGCAGGGCGTAGGACGGTGCCAGGTGCTGGCCCCCCAAGGGCACCCGGCAGCCCCCCGCGGCGAGGGGGCGCAGCCAGTTCATGACTCAGGAGGTAGCTGGATCTTGGCTGGAACTCGCCCCGGCCCTGCGCTGGGTGTGGGGAGACCCGAAGCTACGCAGCCGGGAGCGGGGAAACGGGGGCAAGACACGCGTAAGGGGTTGGCGCAGGCACCTCAGCTCCCCGGCCCCAGCGATCTCCGCAGGGCCACAGGCTGACAGGGAGCCCCCGGGGGAGACAAGAGCTGCCCTGGAGCCAGGGACGCTTTTCTGCACGGACACCCTGCCCCGGAGGACTCAGCCTCACTGCCGCCATAGAGTAGAGAGTGACTACGGATAGAAAGTTCATCCTCTCTAACCATAGAGCCTCAGAACCTCTAGTGCGTTTCCGCAGAACTAGAGCGTCCCGGAGCCAACCGGACAGAGCTGTTCCGGGTCAGCACCGGGGAAGACTATCTGAGGAGACTTTCTAGAGAGGCACAAAAATAAGTTCAAAAGTTACTCATGCTCCAAGCACCCAGCCTGCGCAACCTTGAACATCCGCTTCCGCCAGTCACTTGCCGTCTCATCTCAAAGAACGATATTACGCTCTAGCTACCGCGGCCGCCACTCTATGGTACTCGGGAGGACTGGCTCACTTTACGACTCTTGCTGCCAGAGCACGGCCCTTTCTGGTTCCTTATTCACTTCACATTCAACATGGCGTCGGGCAGCGGGGTAGGTGTTAAGAAGGGGGCGCGAGGGGAAGCCCAGGGCTGTTCTCTCTCCCGGCCGGGGCGGAGACCCCCACTCCGAGCCTGGAGGCGCTTGCCGGGATGCTCTGTGCCGCCGCCCGCCTGGGGCCGCTTCCGGGCCCTGGCTCGGGGCTAGGCTCTGTCTTAACTGGCGCTTGCTCACTCCCCTCCCCGTGCGCTCGGGACAGCCTGAACTCGTGGCCGGTCTCTTGAGGCAGGTTCTCGCCCTCCGTCGTGTTTCGGAGCCGCGCTCCCTCTGGCTCAGCCTCTTCTCTGGCTGGAGGGTTGTTCCCCTCTCCGGTCGCGCTGTGCTTTGTCTCTCCCAGCGTCCGCCGCTAGCTTTTGGACAGGATTCGTATTTGGTGGGAGCCTGCTTTAGCTCTTCCCATTCCGTGGCAGGGATGTTAGTTGCAGTGTAGTGTGGGGATTTTGATCTAGTTTTTCCAGATACATTAATTCAGTGGCTCTCAACTGTCTGGACGACTGTACCCCTTTCAGGAGTCTGATTTGTCTTGTGTACACCCAAGTTTCCCCTCACTTAAACTACTTGCTTACAAAATTAGACATACAAATACAAAAGTGTCACAGCTCACTGTTACTGAAAAATAGCTGACTTTCTCATTTTTACCATAGAGTTATAAAAAGAATCAATTGGATTATAAATTTGTACTTACATTTCAGTTTATAGTATATCGAGCAGCATAAACAAGCTATTTTCTGTATGCAATTTTAGTTTGTACTGACTTTGCTAGTGCTTTTTATGTGGCCTATTGTAAAACTAGGCAAATATCTAAATGAGTTGATGTACCCCCTTGTTGAGAACCACTGCATTAATTAGTGTTCTGGGTTTTGATGTAGTGTCCTCATCACTGTTTGTTTCAGTTATTCTGGGAGAAGTTTCCTCCATTGGTTGGAGGTTAATATTGGGAGATCTGGGACTGCTGTTAATCCATTCATAAGTGCTTATTCAGATTTAGATTTTGCTCCTTCACTATTTTGCAGTAGGATTGTTGCTGTTTTGGCTGAGATGGAGCTAGGAGTGCAGTGGTTGGGTTTTTTTGGATATGCTAATGAGGGTGAGGTTCATCTCACTTTTGGTCTGTGACTCCTATTCTGCTGTACATATAGAATTTTGTTTGCAGGACGGTAGGTGGAAGGTTTCTATTTAGGCTAGGTCACCACTACAGACTGTAGTCACTGTAAGGTTTCGCGTGTAGCTGCTCTATGCTGACAGGAGACAGCTCTCCCATCTGCTTAATTAAGCCACCCCCAATGAGTGATGGGAGAGAGCCTCTCCTGCCAACATAGCACTGTCTACGCTGGTGTTTTTGTTGGTGAAACTTACGTCAGTCGGTTGGGTGTGTTTTTTCACACTCCTGATGGACAAAAGTTTTACCGACTAAAGTGCTAGTCTAGACATAGCCTTGGGGCTTGTGCCATTATGTATGCTTTTTCTGACAAAGTTGGACCCCAGACTTGCTCCCTTAATCAGTAGTAGAATGGGAGGCGAGTGTATCTGTCTAGTGGTTTCTTTGTGGCATAGTAGATCCTGCAGGGGTTTCTCTAATTCTTTTATAACTAGTTTGAAATCCCCTCAACCACTTATTATGTGACTTAAGTATATGTAATTTAAGACGTCTTAAATTGCTGTTTTATTATAAATACTTTATTTGTTTTGTGGCTTTTCCTGAAAGATCATAACTCTTATTTTATCAATGTTAAACTTTTATGTTAATATGTTGAGATCATAGACTCATGGAAGGTTAGGGTTGGAAGAGATCTCAGGAGGTCATCTAGTCCAACCCCCTGCTTGAAGCAGGCCAACACCAAGTTTCTTTCCCTGACCAGGAAACAAATCCCTACTGTGGCAGTGAGAGTGCCAAATCCTAAGCACTAGACTACCAGATATGTTTCTAGTAGGTGTAAATGCTTCTACAGATCTATGTGGATGACAGCATGCTTAGATCATTCATGTGCATGAGTGTAGGTTTTATCAGTTGTTTAGTGGGAGTCTGGGTTTTGAGAATTGCTGTAGTAGACACCTGACAGGTTATAGTCTATGTAGAAGATGGTAGTGCTGAGGGGCAGAGGGACAGATTTGGGGTAACTGCTTCCTTCTTCCAACTTGAACTTACAAAAAGATACCTAGGGAGAATTCACCATTCTCTTCCCCCTCCTCTCAGAAACAAAATGAAACAAAAACCTGACCTGAGCAGAAGACAGACACTGTTCTCTGTCCCACTTGAAACCCTGCTCTTCTGAGCCACAAGTAGAAGGGGGTGGAGTTCCCCCATAAAAATGCACTTGGACAAATATATTTATTATCCCCTGTAGAAGAGACTTTATTTTCACTAAACTTCAAGCAAAGAAGCTTGGAGATATCTTATCCCCAAGCCCAGAGATAGACTTATGCTTTCTGAAAACCCCTCAGTGCTGGGGAACCTTTCCCTGCATATTCAGGGAGAGCTCTTAGATTCTGAGCTACTTGAGGGGCTTTTGGGGGACATGAGTCTCTCTCTCTCTCTGCACTTGGGGATAGGATTTCCAAATCTCTCATGTTGCTGCTGTCTTCCCTTGTTCCAGCCCTGTGTTTCTCTGGCCTCTTTTTTTTTTTTTTTTTTCCTTTTAGCCCCTCTGTCCTCTGATCTGTGAAAAAAGTGACAGCTTCCAGATTGGCTTTTGTGTTACTGTGTATACAGTAACGATTTTTGTTGTTCATTGCCCATCTGCTAAGTGGAGAAGCCTCACTCCCCTAGACCATATTCTTCCTGGTGCCTCAAACTGCTACCAGTTCTTTTATCCCAACACTCAGTTTAAGGGCTTGTCTACACTGGCAACTTACAGTGCTGCAACTTTCTCGTTCAGGGGTGTGAAAAAACACCCCTCTGAGTGCAGCAAGTTTCAGTGCTGTAAAGCACCAGTGTAGACAGTGCACCAGTGCTGGGAGCTACATCCCTTGTGGAAAGAAAAGGAGTACTAGAGACTCTCTAAGGTGCCACAAGTACTCCTTTTGTGGCACCTTAGAGTCTCTAGTACTCCTTTTCTTTTTGCGAATACAGACTAACACGACTGCTACTCTGAAACCCCTTGTGGAGGTAGTTTTTTTTAGAGCGCTGGGAGACCTCTCTCTCAGCACTCTGCCGCGACCACACAAGCCATGTTAAAGCACTGCTGTGGCAGCGCTTTAGCGTTGCCAATGTAGACTAGCCGTACGTTGCTGAATCCATGCTATGTGGTTGTGAGGAGGCCATTCTGACTGCATAAAAACCCCTCAGGGCTTCATGTTGAAACTGAATGAAAGGAGCATTGGGGTCACATGGATAAGGTTGAGATAAAAGTTAAGGCATTCATTAAAACCACTTGCTAACTAGAGATCAAGACTGTTGTTTTAACAAACAAAGGTAATGCCAAAGAATCAGCTGTTAGCACCACCGGGGCGCGTATATATTTTTTTCTGCTTCCTTGGCGAAGCTTTCCATTGCTTTGAGTCACATAGTGGAAAAAATGAGCAAAACAACTGGAATATTCAAGGGGCAGAATGGTCTAATGGTTGGTGCGGGAGACAGTCAGGCCCTGAATTCTATTCCTGGCCATAGGAGGATGTGATGGTCATTCGTTAGAGCAGGACTAGAATCAGGACTCTTGGGTTTCGTTTTCAGCTTTGTCTCTGTTTTGCTATGTCACATTCACAGCCATTCAACTTGTCTGTGCCCTACAATTAACATGGGGCCTCGGGTACTTTTCAGTCCTTAGCAGATGTCATCTACAGGGGAAATATCATCTGTAACCTATAAGCAATTGTTAATATAAAGATTTAGGGGCTTGCGGCAACCTCCATCCCCTGTTAGATCAATCTGAAAAAGTTCCTTTAGAATCACTAGGTAAGCCCTTGTTACAGGTCATTCAGAAGTTGGATCTAATTCATTTCACTGTGTCTGGCCTGGGGATGCTGGTAAAATATCTTCAAAAGACTACATACTTTTTATTATAAAAAGAGAGTGAAGCAGCAACGAGGTTGCCTTCTCTTAAGGCTTCAACTGACTTTGATTCGTGATAATACTGTTTTTATGTGGAAGAATCTAGAGTCTGGAAAATACCCCAAAACATAATATTTTGCACTTTGTGAATTTCCCTTTTTTTCTTACATGGGGAGGCTGCTAATAATCTTAGTTCTGACATGTTTTACAATGCTTAAGAAGCTCTGGGAATAAATGAGAAAAGTTTTCTACCCCTTTCCAAGACATTTTTATTCCTATCACTGGATGTTCATTCCATTTTAAGGATTGCCAGGAGGGGGAAGTTTTGAATGATTGTATTGTTGCTATAATTTCAAATGTTTGTTATTTTTTATTTTTTTAATCATGATTGGAGTCTTCATTTGGTTAAGTAAGGAAAAGGTGTCATGTATTGAGGGTATATAGTGTTTCTTTTTGTTCCCCAGCTGCGAGCAGAGAAACCACTATTCACATAAATGTTTTTCTTTTTATCAGAGTGAAATTAAAAGCATGCATGCAAAATAAAATTAGAGAACAACATATATTTGATCCTAATCATCTGTTGAAGTTGTGGGGGTACACTTTTCTACAAAATGAAGTGTCTAAGCATTTACGAACCTCTTCCTTAGTCAGTG